TGCCTCGGCGGAGGCATGGTTATAAGCCTGCGCCATCACCTCAGAGTAAGTCTTCCAAGTATTGGCATTGATCATGTATTTAAAGAAACAATCACGTAGGCCTGCCGTGAAGGCTTTGAGGGCAGTCTTGTCGTCTGCCTCGGCACACCGGGAGTATTCATGGCTGAAGCGGCCAGCATACATACGTAATGACTCGTCTGGCTTCTGGCGGATAGTGTACAGGTCATCTGCAGAGTGCAAGCGATCGGTTTGGAAAATGTGTTGGGAAACAAATAGTTTCCTCAATTCCTCAAATGAGTCTACCGTCTCAGGTGTAAGACGACAATACCAATTTAGAGCTCCGCCAGAGAGGGTGGAGGGGAAGAGAAGACATCGCTCTTCGTCGGTGTGCATCCGGTATGCCATGGTGGACTCAAAGAGGTTAAGGTGCTCAATCGGGTCCTCTTTTCCAGTATAAAGTTGCAAGCCAAGCTTTTGCTTTGTCTTTGCTTGAAGGGGGGTGTTGAGGATCCTCCTTGTAAGAGGGCCAGGCCTGGGTTGGTTCCAGTCAGGTATTTCAGCCTGACGTTCAGCCTTCAACTTGTTTACTTCCTCAATAAGTTGTAGGACAAGGGGGTCCTGAGCGGAGTTATGTGCCACTGGAGCTTTCTTTCGTAAATCTCCATCTCCTCTTGGAATTAGGAAGGTTTGATCAAGGGCATGTGATTTTTCCCTGGACTCGTTGTACTGGCTTCCAGGGTATGTCTGTCGGAACACCTCTGAGTCCCCTGTACCCTCATGTCTCTCTAGGACTTGTTGCCCCTTCCCCAAATTAGTGGCCGGCTCGGGCCGTGGCAGGGGACCGAGTCTCTAAGAAATCCTTGGGTCATTGATCTTTGAGCTTATATGGATGGAATTCTCTCGACGTTGCTTCAGGAAATCCCGACAATCGCGAAAGACGGCTTTCGATCCTTCTGCCCCTTCAGCAAAGAGGTGTCTCCCTCCACTTCTCATGGTTCGGGTCGAAGCAACTGGGTTAAGAGAAGCCTCATGTTGATTATCAAGTCGAGGGGTAATCTGTTCCCTATCAGGGATATCTATGTCGAATGCATGTGACCCTCCATGTTGGAGGGCACCCAGTTGATGGTTGACTTCCACGGGGGCAACAAGCTCGCGTGTCTGAGCTTGCCTAGCTTCGTGGAGTGTCTCGAAGAGCTTCTCATATTGCTCCTGGAGGACCTCATTCCTCATTGCTATCTTGTTGTTCTGAGCTTCCAACTCATCGACTTTAGCTTGAAGAAGAACTCGTTTTCCTTCCTTCTTTCGTTGTTTCGCACTATGTGCAAGGGGGGTGTCATTCTGTGTGCTGTGGCTTCCTTCGCTTCCCATGTTGGAGAGGGATGCCTGGTCAAAAGAAAGTGTACGAATGATAGAAACCAGCTTGACACAGCTGAAGAGAGTAGGAATAAGTGTCGTTTCCCACAGACGGCGCCAAATGTTGATGCACAAAATCAGCGAAGACTTTGGTACAACAGAAAGTGTCAGGTTTTGTGACCTTCGCTTGGTTGCTTCGATCACTAGTGAGGATAAGTACGTAAATGAATAGAGACAGAGAAGCAAACACAGGATGTACGTGGTTTCACCCAGATTGGCTACGTCCACGGAGTAGAGGAGTTCTTATTAGTAGTGAAGGGCTTACACAAGTACAAAGGATCAAGCTCTCAATTTAGTGAGTTCTTGTGAATGATTTAACACAAAATGGCATTAGGCAATATTGTGGGGGGATGACCCCTATTTATAGAAAAACTTGTAGCTTTGTCACATTGACACGTGTCATGTTATGATTGGTTCTTGATGTTGACACGTGCTGCGCTCTGATTGGCTTCTAATCTTGACACGTGTTGAGTAGTGATTGGCCTCCTGGTCGGAGGGGAACTCTTCTGGGTCCTTGACAGTATAGCGTTGGCCGGTGCTCGGTAGTTTCGGGATTGGTCAAGTATGGTACAAACAAGTAGAAATGGAATCAAATTTGATTAGTTCAACTCGATTTGCTTTCTTGTTAGAATTTGCAGGATGATTAGCAAGCTAAATACAAGTGGAATTTGTCCAATTTTAGCAAGTTCACGGGTCAAATATTTGCATCTCAATAAATACCTTGTACCCCCCTTTCAAAAAATAAATACGTCGTACAAGTTATACAATTGACTCGTAAGACTCTGATATTACAAATCGGTTAATGTAGACGCCATGATGGTTATGTTGGTTGAGAATTAGAGTTCGAAAAGGATGTTGTGTGAGAAAATTTATAGCTATTTTTATGATAATTTATTGTTTTTTAATGAACTTATGGTTACTTAAATTATCATTTTCTCCATCATAAATCATGGGAGATTATATTCACACACCCCAAAGTACTTCTCCCACACTTTTTTAATTTTTTAATATTCTTGATAGAAAAATATTAAAAAATTAAAAAGGTGTGGGAGAAGTAATTTGGGGTGTGTGAATATAATTTCTCTAAATCATTATGGTCATTTTGTGAAAAAATTATGTTAAATTGAGGGTATTTTTGTCAAATCAATCTCACCACTTGAACTTGTGGTTTTTTCAATTCAACGAAAATCTTCCACATAAGAACCAAAATAATAGACGATGGATAATTTTAGGACCACTTCTTTTGATTCTAAATCTTAGAACCAAAGTGAGGAGTTATGCCAATCTGAGGGATGATTTTGGCTAAAAAGCCTTTATAAAAATAATAAGTTGTCACATCAATTGGTCACCAAAATTTGGCGTAATAAGTTAATGTCTTTAACATACGATATTATCTACACTATGGGAGTGAGAGAATGTGCTAAGTCTCACAATGAGCTAGTGTCTTTAGAATTATCTATACCTGAAAATGATTGCAACATATAAACATGTAACTTAGGCTGGTCAGCAATGTTAGTGTGCCAATGCCAAATATCTTGCACCCGAGTTTGAATTATGCTAGTACAACCCACAGAATATGTGATTTAATGATTGGGCTTACAAACAAAATAAAAGAAAAGCCCAAAATTGGCGGCCCAATTATAACAAGAAACCCTTACCCTCGCGAATCACATATATCATCATCCATCTCCATCTCTCTCTCTATACACGCTGCTCTTCCCCTTTATCCGTTTCAAAGTTTCCAGAGCTCCGTCGACGAACCCAAAAGATGTCACCGGCTCCACTGGTGCAACCGGAGTCCGTCGCCGACGAGGTCAACTCCGTCGAGCAGCTCCTCAAGAGCTCTAATCCGGTAAAGCCCTTCCCTTTTCCCTTTTTGTGGGGATGAAATAATTTGTTTTCATTTTCCATTTTTGTTTGTTTACTAAATTTTGAATGTTGGACTGGTATCATTGGCACTTGGCAGAACAAGGATGAAGACGAAGTGGTGGTTGAGGACGTGAAGGACGACAATGACAAGGACGAGGACGACGACGATGAGGACGATGACGAGGACGACGATGATAAGGAAGTGGTGGTTGCCTTTTTTTCCTTCCTATCCTTTCGATTCTAAGGCATATTCGTCATTTTGTTTTTGCAGTTCATTTGGTATCTGTGCTGCTTCCTGAATGATCTCAATTGCTTGGAGTTTTGGGATTTTGTTATGAGCATTGAGAGGGTGCAATTTTAAGATTTTGTAATAAAATCTATGGAAATATTGAGCATAAAAGTTATGTTGGCTGATTTTGATGTAGGTTTTGAGATGTTTTCGACCCGAAACCTTGTTAGGAATGTAAAGATCCATAATTTTTTGTTCATTTGTGCTAATGTTTTGTAGTTGGCCATTTGGATTTTAAATTTTGGATTGTTTTTTACTTAAAGTGTAGTTTTGTTGGATTACAACGAGTATATATTGTCTACGTTGTCCTTTAAGTGACGTTGATTAGACGATGATCAACAGGTGGAGGTGAGGCTTCGAAGCAGAGTAGAAGTGAGAAGAAGAGTCGAAAGGCAATGTTGAAGCTTGGTATGAAGCCTGTAACGGGCGTTAGTAGGGTTACCATCAAGAGGACCAAAAACGTAAGTTGATGTTTGATTTCCAGTTGGTGCAATTGGGATGTGGTTGTATGATGCTCGATATTCATTGTTTGTTTTCTATTTCGTGGTGTTTCAGATACTATTTTTCATCTCGAAACCTGATGTGTTCAAGAGTCCGAAGTCTGACACCTATGTCATATTTGGCGAGGCCAAGATCGAGGATTTGAGCTCTCAGCTGCAGACACAGGCTGCTCAGCAGTTCAGGATGCCAGACATGAGTTCTGTGATGGGGAAACCAGAGATTTCGGCCGCAGCTGCTGGAGCTCAGGACGAAGAAGAGGAAGAGGTGGATGAAACCGGGGTGGAACCTAGGGACATTGATTTGGTCATGACGCAGGCTGGGGTATCGAGGAGCAAGGCCGTCAAGGCACTCAAGACTCACAGCGGGGACATTGTCAGCGCTATCATGGAGCTCACCACTTAACTGGCCAAAATCGTAGTTTTCCTCAAGCTCATTGTTTCCCTAATGAGTGTTTCGAATCAGTGTCGTGTCGGTCATTGGGATTTTTAGCTCAATCGGAAGCCCGTCTATGTGGATCTGGATTATGCTTCTCTTTTTCTTTTGTGGACTCAAAACATTGGCTGTGATCGCCGTCAGGTTTTCTGATGTACTTCACTCCCGAGTCATGAGTTATTAAAGGTTTCTATTGTCATTTTTAATTCTTTCACATGAGAGTTGTCTGCTTCATGGATAAGGACGTAGGATTGCCACTAGTACTAATGATATTTTTCTCTACCTGTAAGCGAGATGTTTTAGCTTTGATAACGAGTTTATAACTAGTCGATTCAAATTATAGTGTCTATAGGGTTATTTGTCGTTTAGCGTGGTTATGTTGTCATTTGGTGTTACAGTTTAATAAGGGGTCTTAGGTTTGACTTTCAAAGATGAACTCTTGCCAAAAGGAAAGCGTTTTTTGACATTCATTCTCTCTGTGTACACTTTTGTTTGCTTATGACTTTCGGTTTAGTTAAATCAAAGGAGAATCAATATGATGTTCAATTAAGTTAAATTAAAGAAGAACTAATAAACAAAAACAAGCAGTGAAGAACGGAGTTAGAAACCAGAGCGTGTGCGAAAATCGTTTTCCTATAAGAAAATAACGCAGGTGATTTAATGATTGGGCTTGGTGGTGCCGCCAAAAACTAGCGGCCCATTCCGAAACCGAAACCCTTTGCCCTCGCGAATCATCACGTCTCGGTCTCTATACACCGCTGCGCCTGCGTGGTGGTAGCCGAATTGCTACTCTTCAGTCTTCATATTTATCAGTTTCAGAGCTTCTAGATCTCCGCCACCAAACCCGAAACATGTCACCGGCTCCACTGGTTCAGCCAGAGGCCGGCGCCGCCGTCGAAGAGGTTCTCTCCGCTGAACAGCTCCTCAAGAACTCTAATCAGGTAAAGCTCCGCCCTTTATTTAAAGTATCCATTTTCTGTTTGGTTCATATATATGTTTTTTTTAATTCGGTGCTGCGAATGTTGTCAGAACAAGGAAGAAGAGGAAGTCGTGGTCGAGGACGTCAAGGACGACGACAATGACGACGACGACGAGGAGGATGACGACGACGAAGACAAGGAAGACGGCGGTCAAGGTTTGTTCTTTTTTTGTTGTTGTTCTTATCCTTTCGATAACTTGTAGTTTTGGATTTGTCATGAATGTCTTTGCGCTTTTTAAAGGCATGTTTGATTGGTAGGAGCATAAAGACGGTGAAAATATTAGATTTTTGCATAAGCTATGAAAATAATGAGAGCGGTTGGCACAACAAAAAGGTTGCTTCTTTGTGACTGAAATGTCATGGGTCGTGGAAACAACCTCTTTTCAAAGCGGAGTCTTGTTGGCTTGGGGTTGCCTTATGGAAATAATGAGGGCAAATCACGTAGCTTGTTTGATTTTGATGTTAATTTTGAAATGTTTTGGATGGAACCCAAAAGTCGAATCGTAGTTCTGTTTGTTCTAAACTATAAAGATTCAAACTTTTTCATTCATTTATACAGTACTTTTGCCGCTTAATCACAATGAATATGTATTATATCCTGTGTTGTCCTTCGAGTGATGTTAATTCGACGTAACAGATGGAAATGAGTCATCGAAACAGAGCAGAAGCGAGAAGAAGAGTCGGAAGGCAATGCTGAAGCTGGGTATGAAGCCTGTTACTGGTGTTAGCAGGGTGACAATCAAGAAGACCAAAAACGTAAGTTGATGTTTGATTTCCGGTTCGTGAAATTGAGATATGGTTATGTGATGGTCGATGTTCATTGGTTGTTCTTTTTTATGTATTTCAGATAATATTTGTCATATCGAAACCTGATGCCTTCAAGAGTCCAAACTCTGATACCTATGTCATATTTGGCGAGGCCAAGATCGAGGATTTGAGCTCTCAGCTGCAGACACAGGCTGCCCAGCAGTTCAGGATGCCGGACATGAGTTCTGTGATGGGAAAACCAGAGATTTCTGGAGCAGCTGCTGGACCTCAGGCAGATGAAGAAGAGGAAGAGGTTGATGAAACCGGGGTGGAACCTAAGGACATTGATTTGGTCATGACACAAGCTGGGGTGTCAAGGAGCAAGGCCGTCAAGGCTCTCAAGACACACAGCGGGGACATTGTCAGCGCTATCATGGAACTCACCACTTAATTGTTTTCCTCGCGCTCATTGTCAGTTGATGATGAGTTTTTTTTAATCAATGTCGTTCGTTCACTATTGTCATCCAATCGGACGCGGGTCTATGTGTGGATGTATTGTGCATTTCTTTTCTTTTGTGGACTCAAAACATTGGTAGTGAGGTCTTCTGGTTTGCTGATGTACTTCACTCCTGTGTCATGAGTTATTGAGGCTTCTATTTCATCCTTTAATTCTGCCACATTAGAGTTGTCTCCTCCATCAATTCGGAACTAATTTTACGAAAATTCTAGAGCACATCAATGAATCTTAACCGCGGAATGTGTGCTAGAAAATTCAAGGTAATTAACTGATGAATATGAGCAACTTAAAATGCAATTTATACTTTGCTTTAATTTGTAGGGGCTTTCGCACCAAAATAGTCTCTAAGATTGGCATAACTCTCTCCTTTGGTCCCTAACAATAAAAACCGAAAGCAGTGGTCCTTGAGTTAGTCCGTAAATCCTTTTTGTCATTAAATGAAAATTCTGTCAATGTCCTCTTTAAACGGAGGGTTGGTTTGACAAAAATACCTTAAAATGATTGTCACATGGTCGTTCACGTTATAATTTAACGAGGATATTATTAACAGATTTTTCACAAAAATATCAAAATGATTTATAGTGGACAAATGGATTTTCTTTATCAGAAACCAAAGTAAAGAGTTATACCGATCTCAAACACCCTTAATTTGGATAAAAAGCCCATTGTAGGCTGACATAACAACATGGTGTTTGTTATTTTATCAAACTATAAGCTGCACAATTAATGAACAAGATAACTGATGCAATTGAAGAACAAGATTACTGAAGCAGGCTGAGGCATCCTCTCCAGGCTCTAGCTGTTAATTGCCCTGCAATTTGCTCGAATCTCACCGGCATTGCCCATTAAGACTTCGAGCTGTCCCATCTTCACCATTGCAGCAGAAAATTTTTTCTTCCAAAGGAGAGGAATCCTTGCATTATGTTTCACTTGGTTTGCGGTTGCTGGGTTTGTGAGGAGAGTTTGGTCTGATGTGAACAAGCCTCGGTTTTTAAGGATGCCAGCGTAGTAACTTGCATCCGTGACGATAGGGCTGGCTGGGTCCATCGGAACCACCAAGTTTGCATTTGTGTTGCCTTGCGGGCACTGCTGCTTCAACTGAGCAGCGTATGCCGGATCTAAACTCGGGTCCTGATTTGTTGTTGCGTTAAAATTGTACAATCTGTTGCTGAAAGAAGTGCAATGAGAGCGGCCAATGGTGTGCGCTCCTGCAGAAACAAATTGTCTGATATATAAGCAGCTTTATTTGTTGCTTAATGGTATAATTTTCACAAGAAAAAAATATTCAACGTACCAGAGAGAGTAACCATTTCTTCTTGTGTGAAACCCTTGTTTGCGAAAAGTTGAGTGAGGTTGTCGACATTGAATGTCGGGAAAGGTAGTTTCCGGGTATGTCCGAAGCTTTGGAACTTCTGCTGTCTCTTCTTCCGGCAGGAACGTCATAGCCAAGCCCTCTAGTCTGCATGGAAAATCATGGATATATATTTCAAAACAAATTGATAAGAAGGAGTCGCATAGATAAGGAAAATCACATGTACACGTGGTTTAGGCCAGTTGGCAAAGCAGTATGCCCGCCCCCTTGGAACCAAGATCTCCCTTCTTGTTGATTACCGTAGTTTAGAATGCGATATTGTCGCAATTTCAGTAGTACATTGCTTAATTACTAGTAGATAGTGTGTTGGGATTCTACCAATGGGTCACTTCCGAGTTCAAAACTCCCTCCCTCCCTTTAAACATTGTAATAGTTTCGAATTCTCTCATTTTCCTTAATAATAGTAAATTTTGAAAGGAAAAAAAAAAAAAACACAGATCTTACAAGAACTATGCTGTCCCTTGCTGCAAAAGCAACTATATCAGCGCAGGATATAACACCTCGGCATGCAGCTTCAAGTCTGGCCTTTGCTTTGTCAATGACTTCGAACCCTCGAAGACTCGGGTTGTTTGCCGGCGAGTCCTTTTCTGCCGTATTCGAGGAAGTAGAATCGATGAGTACTGATGCATCACAACCCTAAAAGGAGCAACATTCAAAGATTAAAATTTTAACATTATTTCTACCGTGTGGGTCAAGTTACAACAAGCACGTTAAATCTTACCCTGACAAAACAGTCATGAAAGTGCATTCTCACAAGACCGGCCGTGACGCCTGGATCCCGAAAGAACGCTTTTTGAACCTCGTCCTTAACGATTGTCTCTGCTAAGGTGCACGAAGTTGTATAAAACCCTACTTGGAGCTGCGAATGAACACTCTGAAAAAACAAGACCACAACTAAAAGTTTGAAAACACGACTTAGATTTAGCGGAGTACTCATTTTCATTACTGGTGAATTACCCCGCTTAACTTAGGATCATCGAATAACGATCTGTATTTATAGCCAGAAATGCGCGATTTGATTATTGAAAACCCAGGAAATTAAGCAGGCTGCTGCCCCCCCCCCCCTCCCCCAGCGAAGTCGTCAAAGATTTAAAATATTTGATGAGCAAGTAGAAAGAGGACAAGCATATGACAAAGCTTCTGCTGTTATAGCATCACACTAAATGCCACCAGAAAGATTTAGGTTTTAACTGGGATTGCATAATTTCTGCAAAAAAAAAAAAAAATTAAAATGAAAAAAATGCTGACTAAATAAGCAATGAAAATGCCAAATGGAATGAGTCGAAATGCAGGTTTGTATTTTTAAGACTTTCCGCGTGCGAAGAGAATTATTTAGATTTCCAGTTGTGGTCAAATAGTTGTGTAAATGGAGAAGAAAATGTTAATTAAGACCAGGATCCAAGGTGGATACTCTTTCAAAATTTGAGACATTGTAGTAGACTCGGTAGTCGATCGGGTTGGCCGTGAGTAGGACAATTTGCCTATCCATACACCGAAATTTAGATTGGATAGACATTGGATAGGATAGAGATTCACTACGGAACTCAATGACTAGGCAATCTGAATCACTCAAATTGAATCTAATAGTCTTTATTAACTCATTCAGCTGATCCACCTCACACAAACTAAGTGTTCTAATTTCTTGGTTGTATCACGAATCCCAATCATATCTGTTTGTTCTCATCCTGAGATTTTTTTAGAATTTTTGTATTAATTGATTTGGAATGAAATTTGGCAGAAAGAAAAATATATAAATTTGCAATTATAATTTATAAGTATGATTAATTTTTGGAAGCTTTCTATTTTATGACTTTTCTGGCTCCGCTGCTATATGCTATCATACAAGTTGAGGGAATTCTTTTAAGTGCCCCTTCGCTTGTATAACGACATATTGTTTCTGGCACACGGAATGAGATGTAAAATTAATATTTCAATTTTCTTTATGAAATGCAAGCATGCACACATCTTCCCACACAATATAAACAGACTAGAAGACTCGATCGTAATTACATAATTCTAGAACACACTCGTTCCGAACAATTCAAATTAAGTTGAAGAACTTTGTACAAAAATATTATATCCAGAGTCATTTACCTCTATTTTCAACCCTATTTTTTATTATTATTATTTTTTTTTTTTTTTAAGTTTTTAATTTGGACACACGCAAAGAAGCATGAGGAATCATCCACCATCCAGGAAGGGATGTTTTCTTTCCAGCATCAGGTTCATCAGTTCTGCCCCCAAATCTCCTCCTTCAAGACATGTTCCCAATCCGAGGAAGAGCTATCGTGCCAACCCGTCGGAAGCAGATTCCCAGGACTGTTGATCTTCCGATAATCTGCCGGTGGACCATCCACGAACAGATCGAACTCCTCAGCATCAACCATATTACCTTCACTACTGTCAGATTCATGACTCTGAAAAATAGGTTGCTCTTTCAGTTCTGAACTTCCACCCTCTGATCTCTTGCTTATAAACGGCCAGGGGTTTCTCTTACCAGCATATCCAAGACCATCAGTTTCCGGCGGTTGCTGCTCTTCTGAATGCATGTATGAGTTGTCAATCTGGGATTTAAGGATCTGAAGCCTCGACGTAACAGAAGCCTCACAGTTGTTTGACTGGCCGGATGTGCTAGAACGAGGAGAATCCTGGATTTTGAACTCGGGCAGTAAGCTATCACTCGTGTTAGGCGCAACTGCAGATATCTTGGGTTTTGGAAGAAGTTGCCCTTCAGTATGCAAGTCAGCATAGTTTTCAATCCGGGATTTGAGGATATTAAGTCTGGACAGAACAGAAGCCTCGCAAGCGTCTGATTGGCTGGTGTTGATTGAAATGGAAGAATCCTGGAAACTGAACTCAGGTGCCGAGACATCACTTGGGTTGGGTGCAATTATGTCAGTCTTGGGTTGAAGGCACACATTGAAGCTGGATGATTCCTCCATAGTGGAACAACTAATGAATTTTGATTTCTCAACCCGGTCTCTTATGATACGAAATCTGGCCATAACAGAAGCTTCGTCGTAATCATCTGTCATCCCAACTGCACCTGATGTAGGAGAATCCTGAATGGAAATACCATGTGATGATGAGCTACCATTTACTTCAGGTGGAATATTATCAAACTTGTTATGTTCAGAAACCTTGGAGCTGGATTCACCCCCATTAGCAGCGCCAATCGAATTTGTGTTCTCAACAAGGTCCCTTAAGATACGAAATCTGGCCAATACCTCATCTTCCTGGCTTAATACGGGCAAATCCTGGAGATTTGAAGTTGGAAATTCCTGAGCATCAGACGTCAATGGGTTGACTGAGTTTGAATCAGGGGAAACCTCAGACACTGATTGCTGCATCATATCTGCATTATATATAAAGTTGTCTGAAACACAATCATAAAATAAAGATAAGGTCAAAGTTTATGGTTTATAGGTTATAAAACTACAGCAGTAACGTAAGAGTATTAACCTTTGGATTTCTCTGCCTCACAGTTATCCATTTCTATCTTTACACGATTAAAACGATCTTTATAATTAATGGAACATAATACAGCTTCAGCCTCGAGCCATAGATTCTTGTACAAGAGGGCTTGAGGGTCTGTTTCCTCAGCATGAAAATTTTCACTAAGAATCTTCTTTATAGCCTACAAAACCGAGGTCCATGGCAAAATAAATAACTCACTTTTTGTACTTACTCATCCCCCAACGGGAAGAAATAAAGCTTGACATTTTACATTATGATGCTAGGGATAGGGGTACCTGAGTCATTTTATCTTCTTTTGCCATGTTTTTGTCACTTTTCCCAAAAACAGAACCAGTAACTTCATCCTGAATGTTAGAGGCGGATGCCAACGGCCCCCTGTCTGCACTCACAACCTGAAGAAATTATTCAGCCAAGCAAAACATTATTATAGAGTATGAGGTAGTAACTGCATGGGGAAGCGCCCGCTATTCATTTTAAAAATTAAGTCCGAAATAACATTCCAAAAACTTAAGCAGCCTACCTTATTATGCTCTGTGAACTCTCCATTACACTGAGCAGTGTTTTGCTGGGACAATGGCATTTCCTGTGTCGGCGACAATTTCTCACCGTTCTTTGATATGCAGATATGCAGGTTATTGATCACAGCTTTTATGGCCTCAATATCATTTTTCTTCAATTGAACCAAGCCATATGAACAATTACTAAGCAGCAATTCTGACAAGCTATTCATTGTATCAACCAGCATCTGTGCATCCACTTTCGGCATAGAATATTCCTCGTCAGATTTGGAAAGCTTAGTAGGTGCATCCTCTGCAGATGAACACAATATATTTTCTACAGCATGCGAAGGCACATGCGATGAACCATATTCCATAGTGTCACTGACGTTCAGTTTAACATCTACACCACAAGTCAATGTTGTTTTCTTTATTTCCGTTGCTAATCCAACTTCTCCACCATGACCTTGTTCCATGGTGTGAGAATGGCCAAAGAGACCAAAGGAGTTGTCCCCATTCCCTGATTTATGGAGGACATCCCTGTAACTTTGAGGTCCTCTATCATGGCTTGTTTCCGAGTCATAAGTGGTCTTCATGGCATCATCTAATTTATGTTCTCCAAAAGCTGAGTTTTCAACTGAAGATCTCTTCAAAGGAAGGGTCAGACCATTTTCCAGCCACCCAATATCATGGTATTCAACTGTGTTCTTGATAGGCTTTTTGGAGGAAACATTTTCCGCAGCATTTAGTGGAAACATCAGTGGCATTGGAAAATTCAAACCATTGCAGTCCTCTAGTTTCTTTATCTGTTCTGGAACTCCTTCAAAGGATTCAAATGAAGAAAAACGACCACCAGGAACTCCTTTCCAGCAAGGCGAGTCCACAGCTGGATTATTAGGATCTACATTGTCAGATGACATCGGAAAAGAATTGACGGTTTCATTTGTATTAAGTGCCACATTAAAACCACCAGGACTAACATGAGGATTTTCAAGTCCAGATTTCGCTTTAAACACATAATCCCAGGGATTCTTGTTGAGACTTCTATTATTTGACAGCTCTTCATTTCTTTCTGTGAAGAAGTTATCATTTATTCCAGGACTGTCAAGTTGGCTTGAACTGAAACGACTGTTGCCTTCAGAAACTTGTGGCAGACAAGACTCTTGTACACTAGAGGGATAATAATGACCACGATCTGTCTCAGCTGCATCACTTCTGAAATTCAACCTTTTGAACAGACCTATCTCTGGTTCTGAAGATTTAGTGCCAGTAACTGGTATCTAGTGGCAAAGGCTGAGGAAGACTTTGAAGCGGATGAAATATCATCCATACTAGCATCATTCTGTCGTTGCTCAGAGAACACACTGTACGGTGTTTTACAGTTTGTGGTGTTCATGACAAACTGTGAGGATGATGCCTTAGGATGGGCTTCTGGAACTGCTGAAAATGACCCCGTGACAGATTCTGAAAAGTCAGCAGGGATGAATTTGGAATTTTTCGCCACAAAGGATTTATCACCTGAGTGCTCTGCACTTACAGATCCACCAAGCTTTTCCCAACCCAGAATATTGATGCTATGTGATGCTTCTTCACAAAAGGGGTCTGCACATTACACAGATAGTTAGGGGAAAATAGAGTAGGGTTGCATAACTAAGAGAGTGAAAAAAAGAAAAGTAGTTGCACTGGAAAAATTCCATAGGCACATAACTTGGGGAGACATACCTTGTTTCATGTAATTCTTGTACAGTGATGAGCTGGAAACATCAGTCTTCTTTGAGCAGAAATTTCCACTAAAGTCTCCCTGTTTACCCTGCTCCCACTCCCACAAGCCACCCCACTGAGGAGTATATTTTGGATCAGAAGGGTTTTGACCGTAATCCTTGTGAGAGGTGCTATCCAAGGGAGCGAAATGAGTAGTTGACAGCCAATCATAACTAGGTTGATTAGGAACCACCGTGGGGGGAACACTCGGAATTGTTGAGGATAGATAAGAGGGATAATAAGGTTTTGCCTCAACGAAACTAGTTGCAGCAGGATCGAAGGATTGATCATACTTAAACGCACTGGATGAAGC